TACCAATTGTAGTATAAAAGTTGTTATTGATGGACAGCACTCTTCTTCATTTCCTGTAACTTCAGGGGTTCCTAAAGGTTCTATCTTTTTTTAAATAAAAGGCCCTATACTTTTTTAAATTTACATTAACCCTGAAATTCTCATTTATTCTTGTCTTGATAAGAAGCCAACACTTTCTGATTGTTTGGCGGGGGTATTTGAGCTTGAAAAGGATCTTACTTTTGCTACAGCATAGGGCTCTCAGTGACTGGTGAACTTTAACTTAGATAAGACTTGATTTTTTCAACTAATTGTTATTGCAACAATCTAGATCTTATGATTTGTGAATGGTAATGTATTCGGTTAGTTATCTACCCTTTGTCTTCTAAGGTTAACCCTTACTTCTAATTTTTTTCGGAAACTGTAAATCAAATCTATTGCAAAATTAGCATTTGCTAAGGTTAACATGTTTTGCTAAGGGTACATTTCTTTATCTCACCACTTTCTTACTTCTTACTCTTCTTTGACTCTTTAAATCTCAAATCTGTTCGTGTATGGAATACTGTTGCCATATCTAAAGTGGATCTTCGAATGATGCCCTATCTTTTTTAAACAATGTGCAAAATACATATAAACATAATCGAACCTGCTCTTGCAGTCAACCTTAATCCATTGTATAATTTGCAATCTTTCAAGTTATCTGCTAATTATTATCTTGCTCTATAAACTTAATCTTTTCACTTTCAGTAACTTCCAACTCTAATAGTAGTTGCTTACAGCCTTGTTGTGAAGATAGTAACTTCCAACTCCAATAGTGGTTGCTTGCAGCCTTGTTGGAAGTGAAGATATTTAAAAAAAGAATAAGAATAAAAGTAAATTTCTGGTTATAAAGTTTTATAGTTAGAAATTTACTTCTAATTACAATTTTCCGCAAGAGGAAATTTTGTTTTTATTATGTTTTGATAAAAGAGTTTGCCACAAATATATACATATACACCAAGCATTAGCAAAATAAAATAGTAATCTACACCTTAGTATACTGTAGTAAACTTTTATTTTGCTAATGTATGTGTTTGCGTATATACATTAATATATGTATATATTTATACATATATATATATATATATATATATATATTTATTTATATATCCACACGCATGCACACACATTTGTATATATATATATATATATATATATATATATATATATATATATATATATATATATATATATATATATATATATATATATATATATATATATATATATATAGATAGATAGATAGATAGATAGACATTGAATTTTATTGTAATTTTTTTTTAATTTTAGTTAAGTTTAGTTGATTTAGCTGGTTCAGAGAGAGCATCAAAAACAGGCGCTACTCCTGAGCAGCTAAAGGTTTGTTTATTTTAAATTTTTATGTTGTTGATTGTATTTCTACTTTTTATAAATGTTGTATTTTAATTTAGTTTAGTTTTTTATATAATTAATTTTTTTAAATTTAGTTGTCATTAAGCAAAACTTTACTAAGGTTTTTTACATTTTTTTCAAAAAGAAGCACAGTCAATTAAATAAGAAGAGCAGTCAATTAAAACTTTATTAATATTTTTTACAATTTCTTTCAAAGGAAGCACAGTCAATTAACAAAAGCTTAAGTGCTTTAGGTGATGTGATAAGTGCTTTATCCAGTGATCAAGCATTTATACCTTATCGAAACAACAAGTTAACTTTATTGATGCAAGATTCTTTAGGTATTTATGAGTTGTTGTTTTTTTTATTTGAATTAAAATTGTTTTTTTGTAGTAGGATAAAATAAATAATCACCATAAGCTTTGATATAAAGATATATATTATATAGCTTGCAAGTTCTATACATTTTGCACCATTTGTTGAATTCAATTTGTATTTTAAGTTTTTTTTAATATTTAATTTGTTGTAATAATTAGTATTTAATTAGTCAGTTTAAAAGTTTGATTTTCGTAAAACAGTTTTTTTTTAGACACAAGTTTCAATCACAAATATAAGTTTTTATTCATATTTTAATTAATGATGTTTATTATTTTAAAACAAACATGTTGGTTTTGAATGGTAGGCAAGCAGCAGTTTAACATTAACCCAATATGGTCTTGCTTCACTTCCAATGCTTCAATGCTCTCAATACTTCAATGCTTTCAATTTACTTTTGTTTAAATATTGCAATGATTTCGTTTCCTTTATTTATTTATTTCAAATTTTTTTAGGAGGAAATGCTAAAACGCTAATGTTTGTGAACATATCACCTGCTGATTATAACTCTGATGAGACCATCACCTCTTTAACGTATTTGTTAAACTTTTCTTGTTTTCAATGTTTTTAAATCTTTTGTTTTCTAAGTTCAGGTTTTTAAATAACTTTTATAGAAAATTTAATTTAAAAAAATAATTTTTTTAAATTCTTGATTAGGTATGCTTCTCGTGTAAAACTTATTACAAATGATGCATCAAAAAATTCAGAAAGCAAAGAAATTGCTCGACTCAAAAATGTAAAAATCAATCTTTTTTTTATTGTTAACATATTATAATCTTGAAAAGTGGTTTGATCATGTTATGTTGTTAAGTGTTTTGATCATGTTATAATGTTGATAAGTGATTAGACTATGATATGTTGATATGTAATTTGTCTATGTTATTATATTAGCAAATGATTTAGCTATGTTATCATTTTGATAAATGATTTGTCTGTGTTATTATGTTGTTAAGTGATTTGACTAAGCTATCATTTGTGTTATGTTATTATGTTATAAGTAATTTGTTTATATTATAACGACAACAAATGATTTGACCATGTCATAATGTCGATAAGTGTTGTGTGTATGTATTTGCCAATAAGAAAATAATTTGCAATCGTAATTTATAAAAACAAATATTTACATGACAGGGGCTAAAAAAAGACAAACTTAGTCTTATTACCAAACACCAAATTAATTTGACCATGTTATAATTTCATTGTAATGTTGATAAGTGGTTTGATCACCTAATAATGCCGACGGGTGCCTTGACTGTTATAATAGTAGTGTAATTGTATATTATTAGTTATAATGAAAGTGTAATTGTATACTGTTTTTTATAATGATAATGTAATTGTATATTAATCCTAGAGAAGTTCAGACCTAGTTTCATGTATTTCACAAAACAAACAACTTAATTACCCTATTTAAATCTAGTTTGCATTGTAGCAAAATGGCTAAATAAATTAAAAAAATAATATTTGTAGACATTGTATTTAAAATTAATGAAGTCATTTAGAATCAGTTTTTACAGGGATCTATTTTTAACAACTAAAATTCTTTAAACAACTTCAGTTTTTTAAATTATTTACAAAACATTTTTACTCTTAGTTCATCCAGGTTTTAAACTGGTTGGTCAAGAAATTAAAAATTATATACTTTTAACTCTTTCTCTAAAGTGACTTATGTAAATTTTATTTTTCAAAAGCTATTATTTTGTTGTTACCTGAAATGTAAACATAATTAGGTATAAAGTAAAAAAGATAATTATGGTACATAATTAGGTATAAGGTAAGAAATATACTTATATAAGAAATATACTTATCTTTTTTACTTTATACCTAATTATGTACATTAGGTATAAAGTAAAAAAGATAGTTATGGTACATAATTAGGTGTAAAGTTAAAGGAGATAATAAAATAAATATTTAATCAAAGGAAATAATTAAACATAAGTGTGTTTAGAGAATAATTAAATGATGTTTAGAGTTTGTTTAGAGAACTAATTTATTAAATTTAGGGTAAACAAAAAATCTTTACAAAAATGTATAAAATCCTATTAAAAATTTTTTGGAGTGTATTAAATCTTATTTGGAAATTATTTACAAGGTTTTCTAAAATGGATATTCTAGTAGTTTGTTCAATTTGCAAATGTTTGCATAACAAATGTCATACTATTTCTTATACAAAAGGTAACAAGTGGTTTGAATTTACTGTATGATTATTTCATGAGTAAAAATTCAAAAATTCACATTTAATTATCAATATATCAACAAATTATCAATAAATTATCTACTATCAATGTTACTATCAAGATGTAACTATTAACTCTACCAAATATAATAACAAAGTAAAAGACACTTGAATTTTTTTTGTTATAAATTTTTATTACATCTTCAATTAAGATTAGCGAATTGTAATTTGTTTTGTTAGTTAGAATCTGTTTAAGTTTTTCTTAGATTTTTTTACAGAAAACCCAAAAAATTTTTTTGGAAAACTTTTTATTGAAAGCAGTTAAATGAAGTCCCAGTTCTGAGTCAATTTTTATCAATTTGCGTTTTTTTGCATTTTTTATGGATATAGCACTTAACTTCTTTAAAAGTTAAGTGCTAATGATATTTTACAAATGATTCAAATCAAGATTATCTCAAAATGTGAATCATAGCGAATAGGGCATAAAAAAAAACATTTTACAAGCTACTTAGAGCTGCAAATAGCAGATGCATATTTGATTCAAATAGTCTACTTCTTTAAAGGGATCCCCAACTGCCGAGACAAGTTGTGTTCATATTAAAGAAAATGTTTAAAAAAAACATTTGGGCTAAATTTTTTTGATTGAAACTAAATAATGAATGCATACCAACAAAATTAAAATTAGCGTTTTAGTCAAAGCTCGCCTTCTCCATTTTTTTTTTGGTTCTCGGGGTCTGTATAATGTTAGCCGCAATCTGCAGACTTGATAATTTATTCAATGCGTGTTAATTCATAACAGTTTCGGTATATGACGTCATCGCAATATCTTTTTAAGCGTTTTTTTTAAAGATAAAGTTTTTCTACTACAATCAGAAAATTAAATATTTGTATAATTTTTTACTAAATCACAAAAAATATTTGTGATTTAGCAAAAAAATATATACAAATATATATATATATATATATATATATATATATATATATATATATATATATATATATATATATATATATATATATATATATATATATATATATATGTATATATATATATGTATATATATATATGTATATTTATAATTTTTTTAAACTTGTTTTATTATTGTTTTATGTTTATTATTTATTTATGTTGTAGAAGCCAGCCAAAATCATGACACAATTATACATATGTTGTGATTATTAGAGTTGTCAGGCAGAGAAAAAATAAAGGCAGTATGATGCGGTTTTTCGTTTTATATATATTTTATATGGTTCAATAGAGTTGTTCGTTTTATGTTTAGTTTACATTTAGTTATGGTTTAACTCTTTCACTACCGCAAGCCACTGGTAGCGGCTTTCGAGTATGCTTTACAATTTATCTTGTTTAGTACATAAATTTCCATTCTAGACACATAAAATTTGTTTGCTTTGAAGGTTTTATTAATTCTCTACATAATCAAGAAAAAATAAGAGCTATAATTGTGCAATTATAAAGAAAATATAAATGAACAAATAAAATATATTATTTTTAAAGTCTTTAAATCATCAATAGAACAAGGAGTCTTTCCTGATCAATTGAAAATTGCTAAAGTCATTCCACTTTTCAAAGGTGGTGACAAATCTGATATAAGTAATTACCGGCCTATTTCTATCTTATCTATATTTTCAAAAATACTAGAAAGAATCTTGTTCAATAGAGTATTTAATTATTTTAGTTTAAATAATTTATTATAAAAAAATCAGTTTGGCTTTAAAAAGAATAACTCAACTGAGCATGCAATTATTCAGTTGGTGCGTGAAATTTCCAATTCTTTTGAAAAATCTCAATTTACATTAGGAATTTTTATCGATCTTTCAAAAGCATAATACTGTCGATCATGATATTTTGCTTTATAAACTTAGTTATTATGGAATAAATGAAAGAGTAATTAAATGGTTTCAAAGTTATTTATCAAACAGAAAACAATTTGTTTCTTGAAATGAACTTAATCATAAACAGTTTTTAAATGTTTCCTGTGGTGTTCCGCAAGGTTCCATCTTAGGCCCTCTTTTATTTCTAACATATATATATGACTTGCATAAAGCATCAAATCTTCTAAGTATTGTGTTTGCTGATGACACAAAATTATTTCTCTCTAACAGTGACATCTATCTCCTTTTCTCCATGATGAACAAAGAACTTCAAAACATATCTAAATGGTTTAAAAGTAACAAATTAACATTAAATATAACCAAGACAAAATGGATTTTTTTCCACCCGCTCTCCAAAAAACGTTTTCTACCTCCAAATCTACCAAAAATTCTTATTGACCATATTGAAATTAAAAGAGATTCTGTAATTAAATACCTGGGGGTTTTTATTGACGAGAACATCACATGGAAACATCATATTAACTATGTTTGTTCGAAAGTTTCAAAAAGTATTGGAATTTTATATAAAACACGTACTCATTTAGATAAAATTAATTTAACTAAACTTTATTACTCTTTAATCCACAGTTATATAAGTTATGGAGTTATAGCCTGGGGTAGCACTGATCAAAGAATCAAAGCAAGTTACATTGTCTCTATTGCCGTCAGAAACATGCGATCAGTTTAATTAATTCTGTGGATCGGTTCGCACATTCCTCAATATTTTTTAATCAAATGAAAATCTTAGATATATATAAACTAAACGTATATAAAAATTTATCTTTTGTCTATATGTGGAAGCATGATTTATCTCCTTTGATTTTTAAAGATCTTTTTATTTTGAAACCATCAAACAAGTTTATCATGAGGAATAATAATTATTTAAATGAACCATTCTGTCAAACAAAATTCAATCAATTTTGTATCACTTATCGTGCAGCTCATCTCTGGAACAAAATTATTTTGCCTTAAATTATTTTGCCTAACTTTGATTTATCCCTAACTTATCCTGTTTTTAAAAATAAATTAAAAGACCACATTTGTTCTATTGAAAATATCTTAGAATATTTTAATTTATTTTGTGATAAAAAACAAAATAATAATTTTTATTGTCATGTATGTTCAAGTTATTGTCATGTATTTTCAAATTTTGTTTTACACTTGTTTACAATTTATTTTCATTTATGTAAATACGATTTATTGTTTTTATATGATTTTTTACGTACTTTTATTGTAAAAAGAAGTTTTTATAATATGTTACGTACTCTCTTTTGTAAAAGGCTTCTAATGATAAGATCATTGTGATCTTCTTTTAGAAGCCTTGTTTGTATTTGAAAAAATATGTAATTTATATATTACGTCAAATGTAAACAAAGAAAGAAACAAACAAACAAAAAATATCACAAAATTAAAAAATCTTGAATAATCCTTCATAAAAAAAACTTTAAATTTAATTTAAAACAGCGTTAACACTATAAAATTAACTTGTAGAAGTTGTAGAACTATATAAAATTAACTTGTAGAACTTGTAGAACTATAAAAAACTTTAAATTTAATATTTAAAACAGCGTTAACACTATAAAATTAACTTGTAGAAGTGTTAAGTATTTAGTTAACTAATTACCAAAGTATTTTGAAGAAAAATTTTTATTTTTATTCATTAGATGAGGTTT